AAGGTTCAGCAGTGATGGTTGTCATATTGTCTTGCATGGTGAATGCAGACGTAAACTTTGCCTGGTCTATTCGTACACCCATAGGCAATGGAAGCTGACGAACAATATAGGCAGAAATTTGAAGTAGGCCCCAGATGACAAAGTTGAACAATGACTTAGGTTCCATAAGGATAATACCGTCTCGGACAAAGTTAGCCTCCCTTGTTATCGTCCCTTTATTGGTGCTAGATTTTCTCAGTTTTCTGTGACAGATGTTAATGTTTGTTACTCACAGCAATGATGTCGCCTCTGTTGACAATTTGAAGAGTTGTCCAAACATACTGGCGAACCCGATAGAGTATTGACCAGCTCCAGAAAGCATGAAACGTGGTGAATATAGAACGGCGTTGATCCGATACAAGTTTTTTTTCAACTCAATGCCACGTCCAAGAATGATTGGTGAGCCCCCATGCAAGAAGAGCCCATTGAATATGGGCAAGCTAAAGCGAACCATCTTCACATAAATGAGATTGTTCAGAACGAAGAATCTCCCCATTTCAGTTCCACCACCTTCTGGGACATTGGTGTTGGACATCATGCAGGTATAACCTGCAGCATCGTCTCCAGTGTCACGGTGACCATGCATTTGCCCAAAAACCCCCATCCCCACCAGGGAGGTATCTATAACTGGATTAGAAATAGCCATAGTAATTATACTGAAATAATAACCAAAACGCCTCTCCCAAGGTATTGCAGGTGAAATATTCAGCTGTAATGCTTGAAAATAATAGTTGTCATCAACTCCTAGTCTTGGTATGTTGGCTGCAGATGTGTAGCGTTGATAGAGGTCTTGTACGTGGTTTGGAAGACAAATCTTCATTGCGAGGGCGCCGATTTCAGCATGTAGCTAATAATCTTTTTAAGTGGCAATAATAGTTGAGCAGAACAATGGTACCTTGATGAACCTCTTTCTAAAAGCTAGTTGCTCATCCATAAAGTCAAGTAATTTGCCAAACCAGTGGGGACTCCACATTGCGCGTGTGCGTTGGGTTGTGGAACCCATGGGATAGCAACGGGTTCCATTAATTCCAACTGCACCAGTCCTTTCAAACCATGTTCCCCCCCTTAATACTCCATTTTCATCCCGTGTTGGTGGATCAAGGGTAGCCTCTTCCTCTGGGCCAATCAGATCAGTTTGCAGATCATCGAATGCGTTAATCTGTTCTTTCGTCATCAGCTCCTTTCTATTTCATGATCAGACATTATATTTGTATGTATATGCAAAAACATACCCATCAAGTAGGCAAACATTCAAAACATCCTGGTTTCGATCATGACGTGTTGTTGGAGTAGAAGCATATAGAGCCACTTCAGTCACCCACTACCAACTGACTTTTAGTCTTGCAAACTCCATGAATACTACGGGACTAAATGTCAGTATGTATATCTATATTGTATATATTCTGGGGCTTGTATATCTCCACTTTTACCTAAATATATTTTGACGTTCAAAGTCACACCAAATATATTTCTAGTGTGTCACACACCCCAAAATATATTTCTTCACTGAGATGGACTCCAAATATATTTCTTATGCCTGGACCCTGAATTGTGACTGTCACACTGCAGAAATATATTTCTGGTCTGGGATGGACTCAGGATATATTTTGCAGCTGGGATTGACCAAGGATATATTTCTTCAGCCACTAGGGGTGTTTGGGGTCCCAGTTCCTAAAAAAACTTGTGATTTTTTTTGGGATGGGGGACATATATTCTAGGTAATTTACCTATTATTTTTTAGGGTTTTAGCCACCCTTCCTTGACTGTTTGTAGCATATGTATGAGAGGTTTCTTTACTGATATGTCATGAAAGCTGAGTATTCCTCTCACTCAAGCAATGGAGAACACTGGAGAAGAAAGCTGGATGTTGTTGTTGGAGTACTTGATGAGGGAAGCTGTGTGTTGTTGTTGGAGTACTTGGTGAGGGAAGCTGGGTGTTCCACATGAGTACAACCATCTATAGTTTAATACCATCTTTTCCTCAGTGCATGCATACCCATCATACTACTTACTTATATCAGTACAACCATCTAAATTTTTATATAATAATGAGGGAAACTGGGTGTTGTTGTTGGAGTGCTTGGTGAGGGAAGCTGGGTGTTGTTGTTGGAGTATTTGGTGAGAGAAGGTGGATGTTCCTCACACTAAAGCATTGGAGAGGACAGCAGGTAAGTTATGTTATATTCATAGATGGTAGCATACATCTTGATGTATGACTTGGGCAAGAAACATCATAGATCTGAACAGCTGGCTTGTAAGTTGTAGTGTTGGTCTTGATGGGTAGCATACATCAGAACAGCTGGCAAGTTGTGTTAAATTATTGATAGATGTAGCATACATCTTGAGCTATGACTTGGGAATTAAATGAGCATTGTAGATTACAACAGTTCAAGTTGGAGGATTACAACCACATCAGAACAGCTGGTAAGTCATGTTAAATTATTGATAGATGTAGCATACATCTTGAGCTATGACTTGGGAATTAAATGAGCATCGTGGATTACAACAGTTCAAGTTGGAGGATTACAACCACATCAGAACAGCTGGTAAGTCATGTTAAATTATTGATAGATGTAACATACATCTTGAACTATGACTTGGGGAATTAAATGAGCATCATAGATCACAACAGTTCAAGTTGGAGGACTACAACCTGAGCAGTTCAACATATATCCACAATATATAAATTTGCAACAATATATCCACAGTAAATTTCCACTCACAATGAATATATATACTGTGTGAGACTATCATCCTTGCATATAATCACAGAATATATCCAGATAGATAAGATATATCTCCTAGTAACTGTACATATATACTTCATAGATATATTTGAATGTATATATCACAATAAGTTGCACATAATCACAGAATATATACTTGTTAAATGTGTTTAAAGGTATATATATTCCAGTAACTGTACATATATCCTCTGTAGATATATTTCAGGGCACAAATCTACACTTGGTCAATATAATGGTACATATATATGTGGTAAATACATTTGAGGATATATATATACCAGTGCGATATATTTCAAGGCATATATCCCAATGGCAGTGCATATATACTTGGTAGATATATCTGAAGGAGGTAATGGTATACATATATACTTGCTAGATATATCTGAAGACGTACATATATACATGTTAGATATGTTTGAAGGTGCATATATACCATTTATCTTGACAGCATATATACTGGCTGTGAATGATCTGAATATATTCTGAATATTAAGATTGGATGGCTTTAAGCAAGACATTTTCACATATATATCTCATTTCAATATCCTAGGATGGCAGATTGTAACAAAACTTGAAGGTAAGTAATAGCTCTAAGTCGATGCAAACATAAAGTATGTAAAAGTCCATATATACTTGGTAGATATCTCAGAAGATCTATATTAGATATATTTGAAGGTATATATGGTATTATATATCCAAGTAACTGGTACATTTATCTTGACAGGATATATACTAATCTGAATATAATCTGAATATTAAGATTGGATGACTTTAAGCAAGACATTTTCACAAATGATCTCCACTGAACATATCCAAGATATATCTCATTTCGATATCCTAGGATGGCAGATTGTAACAAAATTTGAAGGTAAGTAATAGTTCTAAGTCGATGCAAATGTAAAGTGTGTAAAAGTCCAATGCAAATGAGGGAGACAAATAAATAGCAAGCAATGCAAATGAGCAAAGATGAAAGAAAGGCAGCTATCCACAAAGCAGGCTTATGATAATAAAGTATGTAAGTAGCAAGGTGAATTCAGCAAAGGAGTGACAGAGCATGGTCAGATAGTGACAGTGAAAGCGGTGCATAACATTACTTTGAAAAATCACGTCAGATATGCTAATGATAAAGTGAAAGACTTATAACGAGAGTGTACGTCAGTAGAGCAGGGTGACATTACTAAAAAGGGCAAAGTTAAACGTGATGATTATAAGCTAATCAAAAATTGAAAGACTTACAATAAGAGTGTAAGTCAGTAGAACGGGGTGATGTTACTAAGAACAGCCAAGTTAAACATGATCATCAATCGAATCAAGAAGACTTACAATATGATAGTAAGCAAATATCAATCACGAAAGCATGTACAAAGGTAGAAAGGAGTGACAGCACTAGAAATGATCAAGTTAGCTACTAAGTCATGAAGCGTGAGAGATGTAGTACAAACGGACGACAATGTGAGGGTGTAGTTGTTGAAAACAAGCCACAATACTAAAAAAGAGCACGTTAGGTACGTCGATGAAGCAGAAACGGACTGACGATGCAAGAGTTAGTTAGTTCTTCTTGCCAGCGCCAACGTGTTTTTGAGACCTGGAAGAGCCTGGTTGCGCCGATTGACTCACAGATTGCTGCGATGTCGGATCGGATCGAGAGGATGAAGATGTCGACTGATTTCGGAGCGGATTATAGAACGAAACTGGCTGAACCGGCTGAGTCGCCTGACGGTACTTCTTGTAGAACATATTGTCGGAAAGGCCGACAAAGGAGACACGACGTTGGCGCTTTGCTTCAGGCTCCTCTTGCGCTTGCTTGTGTTTCGGAATAGGGCGGTAATCCCTCACAGACCTTGCATCTTCGCGTTCATCGGGAAGGGACATTGCGTCGTCACGCAAACGCTTCTTGGATGGCCCTGGCGAAGGAGGAGGGGACGAGATCGAGGCCGGAGAGCTCGGCGTACCGTTGTGTTGCTGTTTGTTGACTGTAGTTGAGATAAGGCAGTTGCCACGGACCCACTTATTTGAGTCTTTGACGAAGACCATCGGGAGACCCTGCTGGTTGAGAATGACCGGGATTTCACCGAAGCGCGCGTCGGCTTCAGCAATCTGTTTTTGATCTAAGGAATACATGTCATCCAAATTAATGTTGAGGAAGCACAATGTGAACTGACCTGCATTCCAGCTCTTGATTTGGAGAATGCCCTTGATCACGAGAAGGGAGAAATGCATCCATTGCCTGTTCTGGATTTTTGTAGAGACAAACGACCTGCAGAAACCAACGTCGAGCATCGTGGAATCCCATCCAGTGATAACGAGTTGGAACTGGTAGGCGAGGTTGGGCCATGTTGTCCAAGGAACTGACTTCCGCAGCTCTTTTTGAGGCAAGTAACTATCTAGAAAGTTCGTGAGACAGTAAGTGCTGCGAGTTACGTTGAATAAAAACGACCTACTTAGAAGATTTAGAAACAAATCGGAGAATTGCCTCTGGCGATCTTTTGCGTTGGGTAGGATCTTTTCGTCCGCAGCAACTGTGATGATCGATGCCTTTGCCACCTGAGCAGTCGACGGGCCAGCAGTCGATAGGCGAGCACTCGGTGGGCTGGCAGTCGATGGGCCGGCAGTCGATCTTTTGGTGACCACGGAAGGTGTCGCCGATGACGCCATGCCATGCTGTATGACTTGGTCCCTGATTATGCGGTCCGCGTGCATCGCCCTACGAGAATATGCATAAGAAGAAGAGCTACATTAATTTTAAGTGTTACAGACCGGACTTTGCTAACGAAAACATCTGTCAGCATGGCTATCGGCCATTGTTCACGCTTGCAGAGATCTTGAAGTTCTGACGAGCTCATGAAGAAACCAGACTTATTACGCGCCGTTGCGTTCTGCCCGCTGTAAACCATTATACCTGCAAAGTCAAAAGAGCGATCACGTCGTTTGATGTTAGTTATCTAGTAATCATTGTTGTTAGTCCCTGTTTGTGACGTTGAAGACAGCTTACAAGGTCCGTGATTGCCTTGAGGTTATCTGCAAAGCGGAGGCTCGCATCGCGGACATTGGTGCCCTCATCAGTAACCTGCTCCTGGAGGAACTTTACGGCGTCCTTGATGCGTTCATCTTTCTCCTCTTTTGTCGTTGCTCCATCCATGAGCTTTCTGTATTCTTCGTTGTTAGTTTTGTTCCAAAGTAGCAGACCCTCTAGAAAAATATTAGAAATGAATGAACAAGCAATCAGGAAACAAACGCTACCTTTATTGCCATCCTCTGGTTTTGATTGGCTGGCAAAAGACTTGTATAGATTGTATCGGTTTGGGGCCCTCTTCTCCTTCTGGAAAAGACCCGCCCTCTCCATGGCGAACTGAGCTGTGCGACCATAGAGATTGCCTATCCTTCCAGCAAGTTGCCACACAATGTTTCCGAGCATTGGGTACATCGCCGACTCCAAGAGGGACAGCTTTTTCGAGGAAATTTCGTTGGCTTCGGTGAGCAGCGCATCAGGCATCAATGTCAACCCATAGCTTCTCAAGATGCATGCTGCATCTTTTTGGGCAGGCGTGAACGAAGCTCTCAAAGCCTCCCAACAAGCGTCGGATGAGGTCGGAGGCCCCCCACGCAAACCCATCTCCAAATCTGAGTCAGACCTCTTGATAGTTACGACAGGGACGGCAGCTGATGAGCGCGCCTCTTCTTGCAGTTCATGCTGCATCTCGCGTTCTTCCTCTTCGTCTTCCTCATCCGTATCTGAAACTGGTTTTCCGCTAGACTTAGCCAGAGCCCTCTTCTCCCATCGTGTCTCTTCCCAATCTGAACCGCTGAGATCACTCTCAATCATGGGATCTGGTGCGTCCCATTCATCATAATTAACCTGAGCACGTCGAGCGGCCTGTGCAACCTCTGCACGACGAATTTCCTCTGTGTGCACAATCTCCCAGTTCACCGCATCGACATAATCTTGTGGGTCGTGAGGGACCGTATGGTCATCAGGAATGCCGACGTATTTGTTCTTGGTCTCATCCCAGATTTCCGTGAGTTTGTCAGCTGCGTTTTGCCGACCTTCTCGAGGTAAGTGTCCGTGATAGCGCACATGACCTTCCTCCCATGGCTTTTTGAACTTGTAAACGGCACCCTCCTCGTTCAACCCCGCTTGTAATCCCTTCTCTTCGTCGAGAGACAGATAGTTGACGCAGACAAGTTTAAGTTCCGGATCGTCCCGCCCACGAGAGTTGTTTAATTCTTGAAAGGCCCTCTTCGCCTCTGGGTGAACATAGGAGCTGCAGTTACGACTAAGCTTTCGGACATCGTTGACTGCTTCGATGTAGTCCTCGATAACGTGGGGGGCTGTAAACCCAGGTGGAATTGGGACCCAAGTGGAGGAATCGTTATCGAACATCAAAGTCCGATCGTCTGCTGGACTGCGGGGTCCCTCCTCAGGCAGAAACCCGTGATACTGGCGATAGCCGCCTTCTGGATACGAGAAGCGATAACCTTGGTCACCTTGAAGACTGTAATTGATAGCCTCCAAGTCGTCGTCAGTGAAGTCACCGATAGACATTAAGTCGACGCGTTCAGGCAATTTGTCTTCATTCGAGGAGGCATTGGTAGGTGGGGCATTCGCAGGCATGGGGGCGGGGGAACCTGCAGTGTGCGCCGGATGAACACTGGTTAAAAGGCGTAAGCTTGTGACTCTGGTGCCGCCGCAGGTCAGCCGACTAAAGTCTGGCTGTACTGCCTTGCCGACATAAAGTCTGACAAGGGGGAATCAACTAAAGTCTGATTCCACGACGATAAAATGTAAAAAGATGTGCACTTACATTGCATTGTTTGCTGCTGCCTTTGCATTGGTTGCTGCCACCTTCAGCCTCGCTTCTGCTTGAGCGAGGTTCATTTTTTGCGCGTCGTTGCGAGTGGTGATGAGGACGCAGTCGAGAGCTTCGCATGTAGTCCCGTTCTGAACTGTTGAGGATTCAGAATCCTGCTTGTCCATGTTTGCCTGGTCATCGAGCATCAGGGAGGGGGAGACAGGTTAATATGTGGACACGCACTGGGGAAATTGTTTCTTCCTTGTTGTTTTTGGTTTTTCTAGCCTTAGTACCTCCCTAGTGAAATGCCACGTCAATGGATATATGGGAGAGGGGAAAACAGTGTTCAACTTACTGCATTTTGCTTCGACAGGGGGCGGCCCTAGGTCTAGTTTGGTTTTTGGATCTTGTTTGAGTACAATGAGACATTTAAAGTAGTGGGTGTGAGTTGGACGATTGGTTGAGAGATTATAGTAGGTCGAGTGGGGAAAGTTGCTTGTAAGAGTTTGTGACCATTAAATAAGTAGTGCAGGAGGTCACGTGGTCGTGACATCAGTCCATATATATCGCACAGGTAATCTACGGGGTAGCGTAGCTGCAGGCTTGCCTGTAGACCATCTAGACCATCGAAGCTGCACTTATAAGTAGTGTTTAAAGGTTCAGTCCATAGGACCGCAAAAAACCGGTGGACCGAACTGAACCGGACCATGGTCCGGTCTTTTTTTCGGTTGCAGTTGCCCCAATTTGGGGTTGGTCCGGTTGCCGGTTGCCTCATTTCGAAAATATATTAAAACCGTTCAAAGACCGGTTTTGATCGGTTGCAACCGGTTAAACGGTCACGTGCGTTACATACCCTTGTAACCACGTTTATTACCTTTTATTGGGTTTTTGTTTCATCAAAAACGGTTAAGAATTGAGAAAGATATAACCAAATCCATATTTTACCCAAGTCTCTACGAGATGTAATTCGGTTTCAGTCATAGCTATGTCAAATCTTCATTAAATCTCTTCAAAATTGGTAGAATGACGGGTATTTACATGCTTTACTATTTCATATAACCCGTTTATTTTTCAGAGTAATAATAGTCAAGATACAAATGGTTTATATTGGTATAATAAATTATACGCAAAAAAACCGGTCTGGATCGGTCTGAACCGGCTCCATAGACCGAAATAGACCGGTCCTAGGTGGTTCGGTTCGGTTCCCTCAATATCTGGGTCGGTCCTAGACCGGTTGCGGTCCACGGTTGCGCGTTTTGGGGGCAAAAAACCGGACTGAACTGAACTTGCGAACACTACTTATAAGCATGCATTATTTACTGAATTTGAGTTTGATCAGCAAATTATACAAGTAGTTAGGTAAAGGCAGGGACGTACCGCCACAAAAACGACTGGCCATATGTCTGCGCATCCAAAATTTGCTTCAATGACCCTCCAGAATAGTCAACCTTTAATTACTAAGGGGGCATGGCGAAGGAAGGGGTGACTGAGCGGAACTCGACCAAGATCGCTGGCGATTTGCAGACTCCAACCGTCGCTAATCTCGTGGGCCTTGACACGAGCATCACTCAGAGCTTTCTTGCAAGACTCAATGGTGCGTTGAACAAGAGGTCCAATGAGAGCTTTGAATTGAGAACGATTCAGCTTCTTATTGATGTGCATTGGACCCGAGGCGTCAGCTGTGATGAAAGGAAGATTGATTTCGGTTTGCATGGTCGACGACAATTCAATCTTGGCCTTCTCGGCGGCTTCACGAACACGTTGGATTGCCATTCAGTCATTCTTGAGATCAATGCCCAATTCCGATTTGAACTCTTTGAGAAATGGGATGCCAATTCCACTTGAGGGAGGTTGCACATGTGTAAACATGTGTCTACGAAAACGAATTTATGCACGTGAGTAAAAAGCACCAGAACTAATGCACAAGAGGGGGTATGTACCAACAGAGCGCACTAAGCTGGGCGCCCTTGAAGCAGAAAAACATGCTAGAAGCCAAAAAAAAGCACGCTTGAAGCCAAAAAGCACTTTATTAAAACACAAAAAGGGCGTGAATGATGATATAACACATACGTGATGAAGACGCAATTCCAGGCGCCCTGGGGTCGAAATGGGTGCGCTTCGTTCAATGTAGAATGGACTTGCGCCGCCGGTGAACCGACTACAGTCTGGTAAGATCTGAAGAAAAAGACCGGCTAAAGTCAGATCAAATAAACTAGCTAGCGACCTATAGTCTGCGGGTAGTAGTAAACGTCGCAGTCGTAGTGTTCGCATCGACAAGGCATCCAGTACTCCAGTAGATCAGGAGTGATCGAGGTCTGATCTAATCAGCCGACTATAGTCTGGCTGTATGGCGCAGAGAACGACCGACTCAAAGTCTGGTCTGCAAAAACCAGCGACATAAAGTCTGCTGGCAACCTGTGGTGGGCACGAGTAAGTCACAAGCGCCTGTAAACGTGCTTGAACCTTGATTGAGAACAAGGGACTCCGTCGCTCCGCACGTCCGTCCGATGTTGTTGACCGTGGTGGGTGCTGCCAAACACCGTTCACGTTCAAGTTGGGCGTATACTATCTACTGTCCACATCGTTCCCCTTCTCTCTCCACTTCTCCAAGGCTAGGAGTCTGGTCCAAAGGTAAGCGCCCCCTCCCACCTTCGTCCACCAACCTACGAGGCCCGAGATCAGACTTTTAGTCGGTCGAAACACCATCTACCTGACTTTGAGTCGGTGGATTGGAACGAGCAGACTGTTAGTCGTTCGTTCATGCGGGACGGTCTTGCATTGGTTGCTACCAACATTCCCGTTTCTAGACAGTCGAGCAAGTTGCTCTATCGTTGTGTTCTCCATCTTCTGTCCTGTCAATCAATCTCTTACCAAGACCTCGTAAGTTATATTCTTCTCTTACACCATTGGCTAAACTATAACTCCATTTTAGAAATCATTCTAGATCAGAAACCCTTGCTAGCAGCTAGAAGATATTTTCCACGTCTTCATACGCCTGTTCGTCCCAAAAAACACTATGGCTTCCTCAAGAACGGATCCTTTACTTCATACCTGTGAGTTCCAAGCTAGTGTGGTGTGCACGGCGATTGATTGACGCGGATATGATAGATGGCTCTCCTGACGTCTTTGGTCGCTATCACTATAACGACGGCAATACGAAATTTGACACTTACGAGCGGTCGGAGGATGGTAAGCGCTGATGCACAAAGTACCATTGGATTGTTTTCTGAACGAAGCATTTTAGATGAAATAACAGCATATGATGCTTTGGCCATTGCAGAACTGTACGAAGAGTATATCCCACTCGATAACGCGCCTGTCCCCCCATCGCCCACCATATCTCCTGGCCAGGCCATCCCCAGGCGGATGATTGTCACTTCGCCTAATGTTGACTGGATGCCATATATCTCCCTTCGCGCAAGGGATGTTCGTGCCCGCGAAGATGGTCGCTTCGCTTGGGCTGACTTCACCCTTTGCCCTCAGTGGTTTATAGAAAGCCAGTGGCATCTTCCCTTCGTCCGTACACGCCCACCAGCGGCGACAATCAAAAGCCACGAGCTGAGTTTCTGTTGGTGGGAAATGAGCGACCACCATTTCATTGAGGCTCATGGCTCGGCTTTCCGCGATTTGGGAACGCTTGAACCTGATATCGCAGACGCATTTCGAGCAGAGGCGAAGAAACTTCACTTAGCGTGCCAGTCTGTTCAGCAGCATAAGGATCCCGGCCGCCTCTTCTATCTCGCCAACAAGACCACCGATGCCGCCCTCCAACTGAAATTCTGCAATTTCACGAGGAGGGACCTTGTCTACCGGATCGCCTGTTTCCAGCGGCTCTATCTGGAGACTCTCGCCATGTACGAGTGGCACAAAAAGTGGACCTTTCGCCTCAACGACATGACGGGCAAAATATATGAAGTAGATGAGTCAATTATGGGAGCGATCACTGACAGTCCCGATTGCATAGCAGTGCTCTACCGCGTCGGGGCACCTGCTTGGTATGTCCGGCCTCCAGGCAATATTCCTCGCGACATGACAATTCGTGCCATCGTGGCACCTGGATGGGATAAGAAGCCGAATTATCGTGGGCGATTGGCGAGCAAGTATGATCCACGGGAGTTCACTTCTCGGGATTACCCCAACGCCCCTTTTCAGACTGTCATCACTGCATCCCCCCGAAGCAGCGCATATGTTGCAGCATGTCAGCAGTGGCGCGAGGGTCATTTTGGTCCAATTGTCTCCCAAACTGTGGTGAAGGAGCCTGTGGCCACGGCGGAGTTGATGCAAAGACCTGTTGGTTTCAAAGACTCTCTTGCAACACCTTCTCGGACGGAGTCGTCGCAAATGCCACGTTCTGGTAGGTTTGTGCTACTTTTCGCAACTACGCATCTAACTTTCTTGTAGAATCTTCCACGCAATCTCTCACAACGCCCACTAGGTCCGAGTTCTCGCGAATGCCACGTTCTGGTAGGTTTTGATTTACACTACTTTTCGCAACTACATATCTAAACCTCTTGTAGGATCTTCTACAGTAAAGCACGAAAAGACTGCGCTTCGTAAGTCCTCTCTTTCGTGAATAATATCAAGTAAACTAAGGGAATGACTCTTAGCTTCCGTGAACGCCGCGAAATTCCGCGAGCCAGAATTGGACTTCGTACCACGGCAATCGCCTGCTTGGAAGCATGCATTGGCTTCGGTGGATACGGACCCTCGTCGCATCATCTCTGAGCCCTCTACACAAAAGTTTCGGGGATATCAATTCCCCGATCCTTTCCTGTTTATCACCGGTGTGAACCACAGAGCGATGATCTTGGCGTGGTTGATGATGCGAGGACAGTGGCTCCAATCACTGGTGGATGTTGACTCTGTTCCCCACCTTCCGATGCCCCAGCACTGGCGCAATTTCCTGCACGACTTTGCAAGAGATATGCATTTGCTGCCTTCAAACCCATCTGCAAGCCAAAGAACGACGGTCAGCAGTGGAGTTACGAAGAACAAGGGGGCCAAGCCGATCGCCGCTATGACACAACAACAGCGGCGTTCGCATAAGGCCAAGGAGGCGCAGGGTTCGATCTTCTCGGGAGTGGTGAAGCTTGCTGGTCGACCAAACATCATTTTTTGGGGCGATGTGGCTGTCATGCAAGGGGACTCTGACCTTCTCTCTGCACCCATAATGGCGCAGGTCATCTGGAACGCCTTTGAGCAAAACTTTCGGTATGAAATTCGCCACCTTGACTGCCTGCTCTTGCCTGCGGCCTGGGCCTCCGATTCGGCTGCAGGTCTTCGTGAAGATCTGATTCGCCATGTTTTTCCTGATGACAGTGATGGCCTACTTGTTGCGGAACGACGGCTAAATCAAGGGCTGGCAGCTGGGAACTGGAGGGATCGTTTGAATTGTGTGGAGGCCTTGCGGCGGTTGATGGTGGGATGGCTGGGCGAAGCTGCATGGCGATTGAAGGCACAGTATATTTCTTCGGACACCACACAGACTCGATTTGAAGAGACAGAGCGAATGGTGGTGTGCCTTTACTGCCAAACCTTCTTCGATACATTTGGACGGGCCCCGTGCACACCACATCAAGCACCTTTCCTTAACAACACATCATCTTCGGCTTAGCGGTGGACACGGACTTTTTATCATGACAGAATATACGTAGGACTCGGTAGTTTTTGTACGGACTGTAGCGGTGTTTTTTTGTTGATGAATCTTGACACGTACGGACGTTTGGCATGGGAATGGCAGTTATCGGCCGATCACGCTGGTCAGATAATAAAGGTAATGAAGTGATGTTTCATTCCTTCCCTTGCACCCGCCCCTCTGAGTCTCCTTTAACATGTTCAAGCGTAAACTGGTCAAGGCCCGTCCACAGCTTCCTCGGCAACTTGTTCCATCTGGATCTTTCCAAACACGTAGAGCTTATGGCACGGGTGATCCTACATCTGAGCCTCGTGCTAACATATATATCCCTGAAGGCCATCTTGTGCAGCATACAGATTCCTTTCAGGAGATGGACCAAGACACTTTCCAAGCTTTAGCAACAACTGTTAATGTGGATGGAAATTACCAAGGTAAAAAACAACGTCAATTTCAACGATGGGAGCAGGAAATCCTTCCTGCTCTTATGGAACTGTATATGAAACTCTTGAGAGACACAGACTCATTGCGAAATATGCCTGACACCAAATTGGCTCTTGGGTGTACTGGTTGTCATTCTGGAAGACCTTTGAAAGTTTCATGTGTTTTTTTTGAAAGTATGTTGATCTCTTTTACTGTTTGGTTTCAATCTTTTGAAATTTTTCTTGCAGAAATTGAGACTCTTATGCTCTGTACTTGCACATCACCAGCTCTTCAACTGCTTCAACGGGGTTTATTTCCTTGTGCACCTCTTTTGCCATCTCTAGCAGTTGACTTGAATATGCTGGAGTTTGTCAATGAGCTATTTGTCAATACAGCCCCAAATACAACAGCTTGGTGTGAGACCTTGGAGTCTTTTCTTAGCAACAGGAGATACAAGCTTTCAACTCAGGTCAGTTATTTGCATTTTTCTGTATCTTTCAAATATCTTCATCCACTTCTAGAATAACTTACGGCGACGATTTGGAAATGCCATGCAGTGGTATGCCACCCTGATTGACAAGAAAAATCACCATCTGGTCAAGTATTTGGACCAATTTAGGCTATCAGTTTCTGATACTGCAGGTATGATCATTTTTTGATTTTTATGGGGTCTATACTTATGTTTACTCCAGCTGAGGCTGAAGGTTCAGAGTCACCT